CTCGCGGAAGCCGAGGCGGTAATCTCGCTCGCCCAGGTCGAGGAGGAAATCATCGCCCTCCGGGGTCGCCAGCCACTCCTTGGCCACCTCTCTCCTCCGAGCTGCCACCTCCGCCTGCACATCCGCCTCGAAGGCCGCCGACTTCTTATAATCTGCGACGGAAGTCGCGGCGATCGTGGCCACTTTGCCCTTCTCCTCCTCCCATTGACGGGTGACCCTCAGCAGCTCGGCGTTGTGCACCTCCACCATCTTGAGGTGCTTCGCCTGCTCTTCCAGAAGAGCTTCCTCTGTCTGGCGCTGCTTGGCGGTCATGGCCCGCATATCGTTCCTAAAGCCCTGGAACCGATTGCCCAGTTCCATCTGGAGGGCGAGGTCCTGCACACCCAGCCGTCAGTCGAACAGAAAAGAAAAGAAAAATAAAAAAATAAAAAAAATAAAAAAAAATAAAAAAAAAAAAAGAAAAGAGAGTAAACAGAGGGAAAGGCCGAATGAGTAACACTTACGCGATACGACTGCCGGAGCAAAGCCTCGATGATGAACCCGTCGCCAAGAGCACGGGTCGACTCCACATCCTTTGGCAAAAGAACATCCTTGCACCACTTGCGAACGGAGGTGTTGCCCATCCAGATTTGGGCGTCCTCGTCCACCTCGTGGCACAGCCTGATCCTCTTTGGAGCCGGCCCCTCCGTAGGCTCAGCAGGCCGCTTAGAACTCGGACTCTCAGTAGAGGGAGGAGGCGGCTGCCGACTGGGCGATACCACGGGCGAAGGTGTGAGGTCGACCACGTTGTGGGAAGACGGAGGAGTCGGCCGGACCGCCGGCGATGGCTGAGAAGAGGACGCAGCGGCCGTACCCGTGGAGCGTTGCGTCAGGCGACGCCTCATCTTTTCCGCTCTATTTGCCATCTCAGGAGTCGGTGCGATTGCTTCGCCGGAGCTGGAGGTATCGGAGTCGTACGGACCTGTAAAAGAAATACACTCACTTGTGAGTGTTCCCGTAGAAAACAAAAAGCAAGACGAGAAGGAAGAGGAAAGAGACGCTACCTATGGTGGCGGCGCCCTCCGGCAGAAGGCCATGCTTGGCCATGGCCCGGACTCGAGACCAGTACTTAACGGAGTACGGCCCGAAGCCCTTCAAGAAGTCGCCGCCCATGACAGCATCCTCCGTAAAGACGGCGCGCCGAGAGCAGGGCTTGAAGAGAGTCGCCGGCCAAAGGGTCGGAAAGGTGAAGGAAGAGGAGCGAGGTCGGACGAAGAAATAAAGGGGCTTCCACTCTTTTATCGAGTCGGACAACCCCTCGAAAAGTTGTCGCCCCGGACGGGCGGCCACTTGGATAAAGCCGGGCGAGTGAGAGCCGACCTTGTTCACGGTAAAGAGGTACCGGAATAGGTCCAGGCTCGCACTTCCACCAATGACAGAGATTGATGAAGCTGGTAAGGAGTCGGTGAGAGTTAGGCACTAACTGGCCCGGGACCAAGTTATAATGCCGAAAGAGAAGCGAAAGAAATGGGTGTGGGGGCACTCGGAAGCCGAATGCAACCGAGTGCAAATGGATACCCACAAAACCCTCCGGCGGGTCGTGGATAGGCCGGCCCTCCGCCGCGACGACCATGGCCGAAGGGCCAAGCAGAAAGCGGGCCATATCCAGGTCCGCCGTTGTGGCCGACGACGGAAGACCGGACGGCCGGACAACCGAGTCAAACTTGCCTCGCGGCCGTGCAACACCGCCCGGCAAAGCCGCCACCGTAGTTAACGGGGCTGGGCTCATCGGAGTGGCCGCCCCAGAAGAAGAAGGGGCTAAGAGGGAAGAAGAAGACACCGCCTGGAAGTCCGCCGGCATTTCCAGGCGGCGGACGACGGAAGAAGAAGAAGAGGATGATGGAGAGGTCCCCGCCGGATTGTCAAAAGACGGCCGACGGGAGGAAGAAGAAGAATGAGAAGAGGAAGGCATTACTTACAGATTGGAGTTGAGGCTGAGAACACGATGAAAGAGCAGAAGCTTGGTGGGAGAATTGAAGAAGAAGAATGGAAGGAAAAGGCCTTTTAAAGGGAGAAGGAAGTCCAAGAGGCTGCCACGCGGCGCCTCCGTAGTGGAGGAATCGGAGGCGACAAGACGTCGAAGGGACGCCGCATTTAATGCCTCGATGGGCGGAACGACGGTTCAGGCCTAGGGCTAGCCTGCAAGCGGCGCGTCTACCCTAGGCCAAGGCTGAGTGACGATGACCCGGCCTGCCAGACCAAAGGCCCATCAAGGCAAAGACTATGGGGGCCCATCCAGATCTCGCTGGAAGTTTCTAGAAGTGACCCGGCCGGGTCCGGCCAAATAAAGAGGCCCGGACGAGCTTCAGGTTGCAAGATCGGCCGAAAAAATTTGCCAAGTCCCCCACCCACGGGACTTAGTCGGACAGAGTTTACAAGTCGGTCATAACGACCAAGAGCCGGCCAAAGGAACACACAAAAACCGGGGACCGAAAAGTAAAAACGAGATTTTATTCCATAAAGACAGGGGTACAAGACCGAGGACTCGGCTATAGGCATTACACAGAAAAGACAGGCCTAGGGCTTAACTTCCTCCTCCTCCGCGTGACGCACCGGCTCCGGACCCTCCAAACAGTAGTGGGGGCGGAAAGGCAACGGACTCGGCTCAGGCTCGGGCTCGGGCAGTTCATCCAGATACACAGCAGGCTTCCCATCTACGACCATCTGCAGGGGCCTCTCCAGAGCACTCGGCGACATGGCCACGCCAAAAAGCGGAGGAGCCTCCCAGTCTAGGTCCCCCTCTGGCTCTGGATCTTCTACCATGGGCACCATCTCGTCCTCCTCCGGTTCCACGACCATCGGATCAAGCATGTCAGGAGGCACCACGATGGGATCAGAAGCGGAGTCGCCCACCAGGTACCCTCCGCTAGCCGCCCTCTTCCGCCGGAGCTCCTCCTGCCGGGCATGCTCCTTATTACGGATGGACCAACGACGATCACCGTCCCTGAAACTCATAGCTTGAGGTTTTTGAGGTGTAAAATGGTGAGAAAGCACAGAGCTACCAAAAGCCCTTATATATAGAGCCTCGAGAGAGCAACGACCGAGGCGCAAATCACGGAGGGAATCGTAACTGACATAACTGAGCCGGATTGGATGGGCAGCGTGAATCTCTGTCAGAGATTAATCCCATCCAATTAGCTCGGGAAGGGTGAGATTCGCACGCTAAACTGGAAAAAGCCTGGCTCGCCCTGGGAAGCGAGATTTACAAGTGTCAAGCGGAAGTAGGACTCGACATCGCAGCCGACTCCTCGACAATTGAGACGGACGAGTGCACTAAATATACTGAAAAAGATGAAAACTGAAGGCCGAAAATATTTTATTATAAAATAAAGAAGGTGCAGGTTACAAGGAGCTTATTACAGAGTAAGCGAGTGCTCCTAACAGAACTACCCCTCTAGAGAATCCGGCCGACCCCAGTTCACAAAGATCACTCACTCGGCGAGGAGGAGCCGCTTCCAAAGAACCCTTCCGATGGCCCAGGAGAGGGTGGGCAAAGCGAGTCCCAGAACGCCGGCATGAGTGGCGGCACAACCAGCTCTTCATCGTCCGGGTACATCTCCTGATAACGAGCGAAGTCTTCCTCGTTCATTAGCCCGGTAACCGGACCGTCCAAGTCATCCAGAGGAATAGAAAAGGTCATATGAAAGGTCAGCTGCTCTGGGACAGGCACGTCAACAACGGTCCCGCCTGGGGAAGTTACTCGAGCAGACCCCGGAGGGGGAGAATGGCGAGAAGTCGGAGCGACTTCATGACGAGCAGGAGTCGGCGGATGAAGAGCCATAGAGGCAGCGCCAGCAGGTGATCTCTGTGGAGTCGGACGGGGAGCCTTCCTTTTAGGCTCCCTCTCAGGCCGAGTCCGTTTCAAAGGCAAAGGGCGCCGGGGCGACCCAAAATCAATCTGCTTCCCTTTCAGTGGTGAGCGACCCATAAGGAATTAGTAAGTTAAGAAAAGAACGGCCAAGGTCATTTATAGGTGTCAGGCCAGGCCGAGGAGATCAGAACGGTCCCGCGAGATCCGGGAGATAGCGAATAATCTGGGCCAATCCTGAGTCATTCAAGGCACGGATTCGGTGAGCAGGAGATGGTTACTACTTTTCCAAACCCAGGTTGGTGGACCGGGTATGGAAAAGTGAGGGACTAGTTGATGGGGTGAGAACCCCGGCCCAAGAAAAGAGGCCCAGAAAGAATGCATGGGCCGAGTCCAGGACTCGGCCCAGGTCCAAAGAGGGAGGCCCAGTTCAGAGACTGGAAGGACGGCCCAATACCAAATGGGGACGAGGAGTCAGCCCAGGCCCGACCTAGGAGAGGACTCGGTCCAGAGAGCCGTTGAGGGAGCCTTCAACGCAGTTAAGACAAGGAGCCGTTGAGGCATTAAAGGCCGGGCTCGGTCCGCCAGTTACTAGCCAAAAGAGAGCCGTTGGCAGAATCCGTAACGTCGCCCAACGGCTCGGCGCATTGAATGTAATCTTTAAGTCGGCCATCATAAGCCTTTAAGTCAGTAGAGGAGGAGCCACTATAAAGAGGGCTCCTCCACCCTTGTATGAGGCAGATTCAAGAACCCGGAGAGGGAATAGACAAGTACTACTAAGCATCATATTTTACTAAGACTCAAACCCTTTTGGGAAAGGTGTATCCTCCAGCTTAAGGTTGTGTTGGACCTCCTTTGGCTCGAAAACCCAAAAACCATCACCAAGAGTTGGAGCAGATTGTGGCAGAGTAAAATTCCTCCAAAGGTAAAAATCTTCCTATGGCAAGCGTGCAACTTATATCTCCCCACCAAGGATAAGCTAAGACAGAAACACATTGACTGCAACGAATCTTGTAGTCTCTGTACCAATGAAAGTGAGACTATTTTGCACCTTCTGTCTGAATGTGACTATGCCAAGTCGTGCTGGAATCATCTTCAGTTCCACTCTCTTCAAATAGATGCTGCTAACTTTGTCTTGTGGTTGAGCAATGCTATGGATACTATATCAAATGAGCAGTTCTGCACTCTATCCATGGTGTGCTGGAATATTTGGAACTTAAGAAACAACATTGTGTGGAAAAATCAGCCCTTAGAGCCAACAGTTAGTCTCATTCTTAAGTCACGGACCTACTATGCAGTCTGGAAAGAGGTTACTATAGAGGTGCACCGTCCCAAAAACAATGTCGTACATTTGGATCATTGGAGCAAGCCGCGACAGGGATATTTGAAACTCAATGTTGATGCAGCGATAAATGTTAATGATGGCCGCATGGGTTTAGGGTGTGTCTTAAGAGATCATCAAGGGAATTTTGTTGCAGCTAAGGGAGCTCATTGGAGAGGCATTTTCAATTCTAAAGAGGCTAAAGTCGTGGCCATCTGAGAATCTCTTCACTGGCTCAGTTCTTTTACTGCAGACAACATTATAATCAAGACTGACTCCAAACAAGTGGTCCGGAGCTTTTCTTCAGGAAGTGGAGTCTCATCCTTTCATTTGATTTTAGATGATATTAAAAACTTAATGAGTTTGTTTGCTCATGCTAGTTTAACTTTTATTAAGCGATCCGCGAACCAGGCAGCCCACATGGTGACAAGGCAGTCTGCTTCTATGTCTGATTGCTCGGAGTGGTTCACGAACCCTCCTTCTATCATTTGTAATACCCTTTGTTCAGATTTGAATTAATGCACTTATCTTTGGTTTTCAATAAAAAAAAAAAAAAAAAAAAAAAAAAAAAAAAAAAAAAAAAAAAAACTACAACTTCTACTGAATTGGGGCCTTAGAGCAACCACACCAATGCATAATGGGAGAATAATGTCAGAAATTTGTGCCATGTGGAGGAAAGAGAAGGAAGAAAGAGAAAAATGGGATCCTCCTGCAAATGTGGGGAGATTTCAGAAATGTGGGACCCACCATAATTTTTAACCAAGTGTGACAGCCATGTGTGGCTGTCACCTCTGCGCCCAGCTGGCGCGTGCACACGTCAGGCACGCCTGACAGTCTTTATTTATTATTTTTTTTTTAAAAAAAATTAATTTTCCTTTTTTTTTTTCCTTTTTTTCTCTCCCCTCCCATCTTCTCTTTCCTAATCACTCTTACATTATCCCCCTATTCTCCCCAACAAATGTGGATGCTCTTAGAGCATCCACAATGGTTTGGGAGAATTGTGGGATAATGTAAGAGTGATTAGGAGAGAGAATGTGGGAAGGGAGAAAAACAAAAAAGAAAAAAATAATAACAAAAATTGAAAAGAAAAAAATAATAATAAAAAACAGTTGCGTAACAGCGCGCCTGACGCGCCACCGTGTAGCATGGGCTGTGCGCAAACGCGCACAGCCATTGTTCACTTCTTCTTTCTACTTTTTCTTTTTTGCTGACATTATCTCAACATTTGCAGGATAAATATCTTGTAAAATAATTCCACTCCACATTTGTTATTAACACCGTCCAAGATAATTCATCTAACATTAACCCCCTATTATCCACTACTGTGGATGCTCTTATTGTCATTTCCGAATTGAACCAACATTTTCACTGACAACCTGATAAAGAGGGAATCTTTGCCATTATTCTTCTCCCATCTTTGCCATTATTAGTACAATATGTGGGAACATGCTCATATTCAATATTTTGCCAAAAACCATATCTCCACAACGACCACAACAAGGGATTTTAGTACCTGGCCATGTGGTGAGTAAAGTTCAAAGTAGCATAATTAAAAGCTAAAATCTAACTAATGGGTTTACAAATCTGTTTAAGAGCAGGCACACTAAAGCAATACACTTTTAAGGAATAAGGGTCAAATAGGCCATGAACTGCACACACTAATGTAATTAGGCCACTGAACCTAAAAAACTTACAATTGGGTTCCTAAACTAATCAATTTTATTCAATTTGTCCATTTCTCTGGTTTCTCAAGTTACTAACAGGTTACCCTTCCACCTAGGACGCATATGTGGCATTTAAAAAAATTATTTTTAATTTTTTTTTTGAACACCTTAAATTAGTTTTTTTTTTAATGTTTAATAAATAAACACTACTGGAAATTATGGAATTTCCGACCACTTGAAAGTGATCTTAAATCAAGTTGATACCAAAAAGTGGTCGGAAATAGCAACAAAGATTTTTCCGAATACCAAAAGTGATCGGAACAAGACTTTTGACTTGATTTAAGATCACTTTCAGGTGGTCGGAAATTTCATAATTTCCAGTAGTGAAAAACTAAAATAATTTTTTTTTTTTTTGAAAATAAAATCCAAGCCCTGTACGACTTAACAAATTATTTTATTTTCAAAAAAAAAATATTTTAATTTTATTTATTAAACATTAAAAAAAACTGATTTAAAAATTAATTATTTTAGTTTTTATTTATTAAATATTAAAAAAACTAATTTAAAAATAAATTATTTTTTAAAAAAAATACAGTACCACATATGCATCCTAGGTGGAGGGGTAACTTGTTAGCAACTTGAGAAACTTGAAAAAATGGACAAATTGAATGAAATTGGTTAGTTTAGGGACTCAATTGTAGGTTTTTTAAGTTCAGTGGCCTAATTGCATTCTCGTGTACAGTTCAGTGGCCTATTTGACCCTTATTCCTACTTTTAAATAAGACAACACAACCCAAACAATGAGCAAGAGATGTCTTAAAAAAAAATTTTTTTTGAATGCCGAGATGTCTTAGATTTAGTGTAAAAAAATCTTTAATTCATCAAAAATGTCTCGTAAACGATTAATGATTAAAATATATTTGACTTTTAATTAAAATGTCTATGTATAGTAGTGTTGTTGATTTTTTTATTTTTTATTTTTTGAAAACAGTAGAGTTGTTGATTATAGAAAAGTAAAGAAAATTATCCTTTGAATCTTTAAAGCCAATATGTATTTGGGGTAAGATACAAATAGGGTGTCTGGATAATGCCTTATCAGTTAAAGTTTGGCTTATTGTTGGTAAATAACTTTTTGCCTTGGCTTAATAATACCAATAATTAAGCTGAAAATAAAAAAGTTATTTTGAGTAGCTTATTTTATCAGCTTATTGTATTTTCATTTTAAAAGTCTAGTTTACCATTAATAGTCGTAAGTTATTGTAGTGTTTATATATTTATTCAATTTTTATTCACACGTACATTTTTAATTACACCAAGCCTAGAGCTGGATATCTTAATTGAGTCTCGCCCTACAACACTTTTTTTTTATTATATATAATTTTGTTAACTGTTATGTTAAATTATTATTATTATTATTATTATTATTATTATTATTATTATTATTATTATTATTATTATTATTAACAACTTATGTTTATTCTATTTTATTTAAATTTATATACCTAATATTGAATTATTATTATCAACTATGGAGTTTTTTTTATAATTATAATATTATTAATAATAAAACAAAAAATAGAAAAAAATAATTAATAACAATAACAATAATAAATTCTAAAAATAATTAAAAATTAAGTAAATAGTGTACTATACTTATGCACTTATATGTCATTTTATATGTAATTAGCTAAGCTTAAACTATTCAATTACCAAACACATTTCTATAACAGTCAATACTATTAGTTGGTCAAAATAATTAACACAATCAACTATAAGCTATCAGTTGCCAACTAATTGAGAAAAGAATGGACCTACCATAAAAAAATAAATAAATAAATAAGAAAAAAAATACCAACAAGCTTAGTATGTACTGCTCCACAAAATTCATTCAATCATTCATATCCCAGTGATGCAACAATTCAAGGGTACTTCCATATATTTTGTCTGGCCGTGATAATATTTTTGTATCTCTATCCACTCATCAAGAAGCTTCCCACACCCAGTATAATATAACTACTTAAGAAACTTCCTTCCCAAAATAGCAAGAGCAACATGCTGCACTCCTTGGTACATTTTATCAAAGAGATCAGATAGTACGTAAAAGAGTGATGAACATTTAAATTGGTTAAAATATTCTCAAAATTATTTATTTATTTATTTTTCTTTCACATATTGTTTATCTGTTTTTCATTTAAAAAAAAAACATTTTCCAACATTATTTTTTAGTAAACACACTCTATGCTATTATTGGGAGATTAATTTTATTTCATTTTTGTCACTTTTAATTAACTTATAATTTTAATATTTCATTCAAGGTGATGGTTTTATATGAAAATCATATTCATATGATCAATTTTGGTGGTTATTCCTATGGATTACAATTTAAATATCTTATTCATGATTTGAATTTGATCTAACCACCTCAACCCCTTAATTATGCCCTTATTCAATGGAAGTTAAACTACCTTAACTTCCTTATATATGTAGGTGTAGAATAAGTCGATTTACTAAGCACAAAGTGCTTGGCACACTACGAATTACTACAGTGCTTTAATTCCAACTCCTCGTAAGCTTTTCATAAAGCTTTACTTAAGCTTAATTTAAATTTCGTAACTTTGCCTGATTGACACAAATTGGAAGTGCTACATATAGCACGAATGGTGCTTTTAGATAGCCCTTTACAGTGCTAATCTTAATTAACACTTTAAGTTTTCATTTCTTTCAAATACGACTAGTTTAAGAAACAATTTCACTTATTCACTTATTACTCATTTTGAACGTATAATATATTAATTTCGTCATCTCACTATAAAAAATGCAAATTCATTTTAACCCGATTCAAATTAAAAATAAATCCCACATATATTTATACCACAAAATAGCTACTTATAATATAATTTTATACTAAAAAGTTCAACACCCTATCCAATTATTCATCCACCTTAACTTCCCCTAATTCAATATAAATAGATGATGCATGTCATGTGTAAAAGATGTTAGAGAAATGATGGGAGTTTAATATAATGCAAATTGTTGCTTTGTGGAGTGTACCACGCCATTGAAAGTAGTAATTGATAAATTCAAAACATAAGCACATTAAAAAAAAAAGTGCTATAAATAAATTATTTAAAGGGAAAATGGCACTTTTTCCCCTTTGTTATATACTTATAGCACTTTTTCCCCCTAAATTATTTAAGTGGCAGTTTTTCCCCCTGATATAATAAATGGACATATTTACCCTTAAAATAAATATTTCATTTATTTTTCTTATCCAACAAATTATAACCACGATTTGAAAAAATAAAATACATTAAGTGTTAAATTTAGAATATTTTAAAAATAAAAAAATAAAATTTTAAAAGAAAGTTTGAACCAACCGTTCAAATTGGATCCAAAATCGTGAACCGACGGTTCAAAATAAAACTCAAATACAAATGCGGAAAAAAACATACACTATTTGCAAATATTATAATTCTAATTTAAGCTATTGCTAGTAGTTGTTCCGATTTGAACCTCCGGTTCACGGTTCAGGATCTATTTTTTTCCAGTTCACGA